TTCCATATAGTAGATTACATTGATATTAATGTTACTAACCAATGAGGTTTTTTTGTTTTGTTTTGTTTTGTTTTTGGTCTTTTTGAGGCAAGGTCTCCCTGTAGCCCCAGTGGGCCTGGAAGGTGCTGTGTAGACCTGGCTGGCCTTGAACTCACAGAGATCAGCCTGTCTCTCCTTCCCGGGTGGTGAGATTAAAGGCATGGGCCACCATGCCCAGCCAATTTTTACCATTTAAAAAAAATACTTTTAATCAAATTTTTTGTGCATTTTATACAATGCATCTCAATCATATTTAGACCCCCTCCTCTATCTGCACCCCCATAGCTGATGTTCTGTTTTTTTTCAAGTCTTTTTGGGACAGGATCTCCCTGTAACCCCAGCTGGTCTAGAACTCACTATGTAGACCAGGCTGGCCTCAAACTTGCAAAGATCTGCCTGCCTCTGCCTCCCAGGTGCTGGGATTAAAGGCATGCACTACCACTCCTGGCATTTAAGTTGATGTTCTGGACTAACTAGAAACCCAGGTCTAGAAAGTGGGCCTCACTATTCAGAGCCCTGGCAGTGCACTTGCTTGCTCGTGGGCTCCCCAGGGTCCAGAACCCCTATCAATGAAGCAAGCACAGACTCTCACCTCCTTCGGCTGCAGTGGACTCAGAGGAAAGACAGCAGCATTGAAAACAGCTAATGGTTACCCAAAGGCACTTACTTCAGTACCACTTGTCAGAATCTCATCCCACTGCTGGGGTTCACACCCCAGGTCCTGGCTGTGTGGTTTTGGTGAAGCAACTCCCCTGCCCCCCAGCCTCACTGTACTCATCTGTAAAATAGGGACAATGATGGGACCAAGCTACCTCACCGGTTTTGAGGAGGATCCAAAGAGAATATTTTGGAACACAGCATAGTTCCTGACAAAGGCAATACTACGTACATTGGGGGATTCTAGGCAGGTGCTCTACCACTGAGCCACACCCTGACCCCTCACTGGGGGATTCTAGGCAGAAGCTCTATAAATAAATCACAGCTCCAGCCTTTTTTTTTTTTTTGAAACTGGATCTCACTAAGCTCTCAAGGTAGTCCCTGAACTTGCAATTCTCCTTCTTTAACTGGAATTATAGTCCTACATGAACAGGCCTGGCTTATTATTATTATCATTAATTTGTTATTTTCTCCATCTCTGGGCAGCCACCAAGTGACTATCACACACTTGAACATACATGCACAAACATACCCCATAGTTACTCAACTCTCTAAGGTAGGGTGATTATCTTACTTACTTTTTACTTTATTTATTTATTTATTTTGAGGCAGGGTCTCACCAAGTAGCTAGACTAGCCTCAAATTCACAATCCTTCTGCCTCAGCCTCCTGAGTGCTAGGATGACAGACCTGTACTACCATGCCTACCAGAGGTTGTTTAATGCCTAGAAACCCTCCCCTCTTGACCCCTTACTGATATAAGGAAATCCCACTTTCCTGACCACCTTACCTATCTAGAGAGATGTCGTATCTTGGCCTAAGGTGCCCCCTGAGCCTTCTGACAACCATGAGCCCTTACCCATCTACAATGTTTGTGGGCTGGTTCTCACTCCTCAGATTAGGGCAGAAGTAGGGAGGCACCTGTCTCTCTAGACACTGCAGTATCAGACAATGGGATCTAGCCTAGGGAGAGATCCAGGCCTGGGCTGGCTCACAACAAACCTCATCACCTCACATTTCTCTCCCCAGCCCAAGGTTCTATACTTACCTCTCTTCAGGGAGTCAGGGCCTGGGCCGGTACCTGCAAAGGCACAAAAGCACAGTTAGCACCTTTCAGCTCTTTTTTGGCCACCAGGGCCTGCCTTGGATTATCTGAACCAATGGAGTCTCCTCTGGGGCGATCACTCTCAGACCTCTCACCACAATACAGTCTCTGCATAGTCTCAGAGGGACCCAAAAGTCATGTCTATACCCTGGGAGACTGGACTTCAGGACTCTTCACTCTCCCAAACCCAGAAGTCCAGGATGAAAGCTTTGTCCTCTGGGGGCTGGGGAGCTCGAGACTCTTGCCCTCCTCTCTCTGGCTCCTAGAGTATAGAATTCACATACTACTTTCAACAGCTCTGGGATTCTAAGCTTCCAGGCTCCTTCTCAGAAACAGGAGTCTAGGCCCAATACCTTCTCCTTTAGAACCCAACAGTTCTCATCCCAGCTCCCCAACTTCAAAGATATGAGTGGTGCCCAGAGCTAGGAAACAACAAAAGGTTCCTATCCTGCCATCATATCTCTGTCCACAACATGGGAGGACAGGTCCCAATCCATGTGAGTCCTAACTCAAGCTCAACAGGGACACCAGCCCAGTCTGAGTGCTCCCCACCCTCCAGGGCACTGAGCTCAGGATATGGTCATGTATGTATCCCAGGACCACACACCAGCCCTTGGCATGTTACAGGTAACACCACATGGGCCTCAATCTCACTGGTCCCAGAAGTAGGGTCAACCTTGTGCCCAAGGCACAGGTGTATACATCTTATAGATACATGCCTGAACATACAGAACCCAGTCCCCCAAGACCAACACTGAAGCACAAATGAACTCTCAACATGGATAGACACACGCCTTCAAGATTGACACACCTGCATACAATGACACACACACACACACACACACACACACACACACCCTGGCTTTCCCTTATACACTCACTCTCAAAGATATGTAGATACAGTAGAAAAACCCATGTACCCCAAACAGACAACCAGACACCCCTTGCACACTCACCAACACACAGCAGAATACACATTCAACAGACTCACCTGCACAATGAAAGATACACAGGTACACATTCTTAAACACCTAAACATGCTCATGCCACTTCACACATTCCCCCTGTGCAGTCATAAAGCTGATATAACACCAACAGATACATGCATGTCTGCACTTAGCTGGTACACACCTCACACATGTACACAGAACCCCAGGCTTGTACAAACACTCCCAAGGCTGAGAATGGGTGAACAAGCATACAGGCACTTTGTAGGTGCTCCAGTAGGCTCACTCATTACTGACACACTCACACCACAGTCCCATGAGGAATTGGCATACTTGTTCACAGACAAGCCCAGCTTCATGTTCATAGTAAAGGAGACCCATCCCTTCAGGTCCTGAAGCACCCCAGCCCCACCTACTTCCCAGGCCAAAGAAATTCTAATATCTCTCCTGGCCGGTTTTACTACTGCCCCCAAAAGCAAGGCATAAGCCAGGGCCAAAGGTCAGAGTTCAGTAGGAGGGACTTCAGAGGGTTGGGAGGTGGCTGAGTGCCCTAAGCCAGGTTCCAAAGAGATTCTGCCACCATCAACACCCAGAGTTCTCCCGGCCTGACCATCGGGATACAGGCAACTGGGGCCCTATCTGCAGATCCCCAGGAAGTGGGGGAGTTAGGGTGAGTAGGGTGGAAAGGGGCAGGTCTGTGCTCCCACCTTCCACTTTCCATCCCTCACCCCCCACCCCAGGGCCCATCTGTCCATCCCTGGCCTCTCATCCCTCCATCTGTCCACTTCCCAGCCTCCCATCCCCCCCATTCCCAACCTGCCACGGAGAAGAGGAAGACATGGCGGTCTCCCCCAAGGATTTCTGAGGACCCCCCCCCATTGACATGGGCCGAGGGATCAGCCAAGACCCCTCCCCCACAGCCACACAGAGGCCTGGCCCCACTATGCGCCGAGCCTCAGCCCCCACCCCAGCAAGAAACCTGACATGGACTCACAGACACACACACACACACACACACACACACACGGTGGGGGAAACTAGAGAAGAAGACATCCATCTATTGCTGTTCATTTGGACCTCAGAGACATCCAACACACACACACACACACACACACACACACACAAGAATGAACACCCGGGCGAACACACCCGGCTCCACAGACCTTAGATGGACATCCAATCCCCCATCTCCAGACACAGACCCCCAACGCAGCCAGCCGCACACGCGCACGGGCTGGCTGGGGGAGCTGCACACCTGGACACGCAGCCCCCGCACACACCTGCATACAGCCCCTCGGATGGGCGCGCGACAATCCCCCAGTTCCGGCGCCCCGGAGTGTGGGACACACATGCACACATGCACACGCGCACACATGCACACACCCGGATGGTCACACCGGCGAGCGCCGCACACATACACACACACACACACACACACACACACACACACACACACA